GAACGTCAGGTGGTCATAATAATCTGGACACTCAGTGTATATACAATGCTAACATGATTGGAACAAAGGAACTAAACCTGAATCATTCCAAATTTATTGAAAAAATCAGTGATACACTAAACCTAATAAATGTATTTAAGAAAAAACAATCTTAGCCTTTATTTGTATAATAAGAACTAGTGTGAGAGTGCCCACATTTTAAAAAAAGTTGATCGTAACATGCCAGTCTTCTTACACCTATAGGAGTTATAATGGTACCTTTTTCTCTTAATTATCTGGGTTTGAGAAAAATAGCACTTTCAACACAAATCAGGACTACTTGAGGTAAGAGGCAAAAGATTTATATTCTTAATAAGCTTTCCTACTTAGGAAACTGATAATATTCTGAACTTTAAGAATATACCTTTCCACCCCATGTACAAGAAAAATTAAACAATTCAACCTGCACATTCTCTGCTTCATTGTAAAAAAGTTGATTTATTAATAAAAATCATTCCACACCCAACTCATTTGCCTGAAGTGGGAGTCACAGTTGTTAAATGCATGGGCACTGGAGTCTGACAGTCCTGGATTCAAATCCCAGCTTCCTCCTCACTTATCAATGGAATGAATCTGGGCAAACAACTTAACTTTAGCCTCATTTTTAAAAATATGTACTAACAGCATGCTACTACTACTTTACAATGCTTTCATAAATGAGGTAGAGTATATAAAGCACTTAGTGACACCTGGCACATAAAAAGTTCTAGTACAGAATAGCTACCACTGCTATTGCTCTAAGGGGTTAGCAATACATATGATTTTAGCTGTTTGGGGGAGGTGGGGTAAGTTCACTGAGGTAGGAAGAGAAGCTAAGAGTTAAATTAATTTCAGAAGCAAATCACAAGGATGTCTCCAAATAATAACATCTGCAATTCAGTATCTCCAATTTGCCCACAAGTTCTCAGTCATTTCCAAAATAAAATCTCTTGTTATAGAGATTACTGTGTACAAACTGATCTTACAATAGAATATGCATAGTTGGAGACAAAGGAAACAAGATCAATGTTGATGATCCCACTTATTAAAAAGGAGAAGAAAGAGTCCTGGCAGGTTCAGCAAGGTGGTGAGCGTCGGCCTGCGGACTGGAGGTCACAGGTTCGATCCCAGTGCAGGAGGCAACCGATTCATGTCTCTCTCTCACATCAATGTTTCTCTTTATCTTTCCCCCTCCCTTCCACTCTCTCTAAAAATCAATGGAAAAAATATCCTCGGGTGTGGACTAACCAAAAACAAGGAGGAGAAGAGATTAAGATGTGCAAACTGCTAGTTATAAAAACAGCCACAAGGATGTCAAGTACACCATAGGGAATATAGTCAATAATATTCTAGTAACTATGGTACTGGATGGGTACTAGATATATTGAGATGATAAATAAATTATATAAATGGCTAATCTCTATGATGTACACTGGAAACTAATATTGTATAGCAACTGTAATTGAAAAATAAAATTATTTTAAAAATAACAATTAAAAAAATAAAACTACACATGACTCCCTGGCACAGAAACCATTATTTTGTCCTTTTAGCTTTTATTATTATTTTTTCCTTGGTTCCTCCGAGACAGAGATAACCAAAATTTATATTCCTATGGGACTATAATAGCAGGTATGAGTATAGAGGTAAACTTCTTTAGGACTGGTTACAAAGAAAAGTAGCTCTTGTAACAAAACACGCACACATACCACCCAGAAATTTTCTAACATTTTTGGAAATGTCAGTAATAGCTACCAGTCAGAGAAATGCACATTAATGTGGACTAGGAAGATCCCAATAAAATTAAAGCGCACTGGGAGGATCAGATAATAAGTTAACAGGCAATACTGCTCTGGGTCAGTGATGTATCTCAGAGATCAATGGCATAAAGTGATAATGTACATAACTGGAGAAGAAAAAAAGATAATGTGGGAAAGGATAACCAAATATGCAATTACTGAACTAAATTAAAATTAAATTTGACTATTTATAACAATAGTAACATATCCCCATTTTAAATGTTTGTTGAAATTTATCTAGAAAATTTATATGGGACAGTCCCATTTTTTTCTTCCTTGTCCTATCCTACTAGCCTACTAAGAAATTCTCTCCCAAAGTCAGGAAGACAGCAACCATAATAATTCAGTGTTCTGCAGTTAGTGAATATCACAAATCTAAAGCATGAAAATGTTAAAAAAAAAATGTAGTTAATGCAAGCCATCCTTTTTCTGCATTCCATAAAAAGATAAAGCAGATTATTTTTTGTAAATGACCAGTAATTGCCAATATTAATGAGTGAACTTATTAGTTAGCAACCAATTACAAATGGGTTAGGATACAAGACAGAATTATTGAAATGGACCCTGATGTTTCAAACCTATGTTATAGCCAACTAAGAGATTCCTTGATAGCAGAATTCAAAGAAGTAGATTATCCCATTCTTTGAAGATAGAGGGAAAGTTCTGGGAAATCATCAAGGTATAGGTGATGACAGAAATCAGGAGAATAGATGAAGAATTTAAGGTTAAGAAAAAAAAAAAAAAGAAAGAAAAGGCTTCCAGGATTGAACCTTAAAAATAAATACTAAGTGCAAAAATGTACATTTCAAAGAAACAAAAGATTAACCAAGAATGCCGAGATCAAAAAATCGAGAACTGAAAATGGGAGTCTAGAAAGAAAGTGAGACCAATTAATGATAGCTAAGCTAAGAGAGCAGAAAATAAGGTTAAAGTTACAAGGTTCTTAATCAAAATGAAGTTTTAACTTTCTGGAGGCTTACAAATTTTCATTATGTATAATGAGGAAAGAGAAGCAGTACTTTAGGACAGTGGTCTAAACTACTTCAAATTCCCTTCTTTATAATAAATCTAGATCAGATATATTTTATAATTTTTTAAAAAATCTTTAAAATATATTTTTATTTATTTCATAGAGGAAGGGAGGATAGAGAGAGGTAGAAACATCAATGATGAGTCCTAGCTGGTTTGGCTCAGGGCATAGAGCGTCAGCCTGCAGACTGAAGGGTCTTGGGTTTGATTCCAGTCAAGGGCACATTCCTGGGTTGTGGGCTCAATCCTCAGTAGGGGCTGTGCAGGAGATATCCGGTCAATGATTCTCTCTCATCATTGATGTTTCTATCTCTCTCTCTCCCTTCCTTCCTTTCTGAAATCAATTAAAAAAAAAAAATAGAAAAGAAAAAAAAAAACCATCAATGATGAGAGAGAATCATTGATAGACTGCCTCCTGCATGCCCCACACTGAGGATCGAGCCCACAACCTGGGCATGTGCCCTAACCGGGAATAGAACCATGACCTCCTGGTTCATAGGTCGACACTCAACCACTGAGCTACAACGACCGGACTATATTTTAAAATTTTAAAAAACCTCGCCAATAAACAAACTATATACAATGTATCCTTTAAAATACAAGAGAAACTAGTACTAAATTTAAAACAAAAAAATAAATTTCTATTATAGTAGTGTCATTCCTAAGGAAAAAAAAAGTTATTCTTAATTGGCAAAAATGTTTCTGTATTTAGAATCATGGGCTTCTACTTATAACTCTAAGACCTATAGATTATTTACAGACACAGAAACTAAGACAGAAAGGCTAAACCTGTTGAAGATTATAAAGCCACTGGGTGGCAGAGACTTACTAGAACTAAGATTCTTATCTCTGGTGTAGTGCTGTATTCTTCCCTGACATCACCTCTGCAGCAATATCCTACCGATCCCTTAGGACTAATAGTATTGAGAAAATTTAACATAGAGAATGAAAAATTCACTAATAGTTTCCCTAAGGGGAAAATTTTAGAAATTCATACAATCAAGAACGTAATTGTACCTTTACCTTCAGTGTTCAAGAACAAAGAAATGTAACCTGTACTCCAAACGGGCAAAAAGGACTAGTGAACACTCTGACATTCCCCTCTCCCCCCATGCTTAAATAGCTATAACAACAGGTTTGGGCATACTCTGGTATCACTCCACCATTTTCCTTATGAACAACCCTAAACTTCATTATCAAATGACTAGAAGAGGCTAAATTCTCACTCTTTCAGAGGCTGAAATGATGGCAAATTTACCTTCCATTCATCCTATCCTCAGCTATGAAGGCAGAGTAGTGCCTTATCATAAAATGTTACTAAATAGGTACATATTAATTTACTCTCTTAGCAGCTACCCTAAACCGCTGAAACCAAAGTAACCACTGGATATGAAAAAGCTTTCTAATAAAGAAAAAATAAATAAATCCTACAAAAACCAAACTAAACCACCAGTGCTATAATTTCAGGAATCCTGGTAAGGCAAAAGCAGCACGAAGTGAAGTTGGGCTTCCTTAAATCACTCTGTTCTCATCTTCACAGACTGGCTTTCAGTACAGTTAAATTTGCAGCATGTTAAACTCAGGTGTCTGTGTTTTATACAGGAATTTGGAAGAGAAGGATCAAAATCCCAGTGCAATTACAAAGACTTCTCATTAAAAGAACCAAATGGAAATTCCCTGTGATAAATAATTTCTCATTAAAAACTTAAGAAAAAGGTAAATAAGCCAAACTTCTTCACAGAAAAATCTGTATTTACAATTCAATTCAAAAGCAGTTTTAAAGCAAACAATATAACACTGAAGTTGAAAAATCTATGCTCACCCAAAGTTGCCAAGTCTGATAAATTATTAACAGAACACTGCATCAAAAATAAGGCAATAACCCAAGATACCCAATGGACAATTTCTCCATTCCCACAACTAGATAGAACTAATCTATCTAGTAGCAAATGATACCTCACTCCATCTCAGCATGTCTAAAATCCTCAAGGATAGAGTGATAAAATATGACCTATATTCTTCATTAGACTCTTTGAACACTTGAAGGAAAATAATTTCTAAAGCACAGAGAGGTAAAGAGGTATAATCTTTGAAAAAGATACTCAGTGTTCAAAATTCAAGAATGCAATATTAATAATACACAATGGGCATTAGGTGAATATATGCAATACAGTAATAGCAAATTAATTTATTTAGTACTTTTTCCATTCCATATCATCAGGAGGATTGATTTCAACTTTTCTTTTACCTACATCAGACCAGTTGGTACTCAAAACTGTACCACCAGACTCCATCTGCAATAAGAAATACAAATAGATTAATTCTTAGACCATATAATCAAAATATTTCTTCTAAAAATCTTTGAATATAGAGTCCCAAATATTAGCAATATTTGGCTCAATAAAAACTCAAGACAATATTTTTATTTAATCTTAAGCTTTCCAGAGAAGTTACCATGTTCTATAAAATCTGAAAAGTCTAGAGTACGTAGGTAGGAGCATCATGTTCACATATAAAGCACCATGTCTCCCTTTCCTAATCAGCATAGAGCTATATGTGGAAAAACTACCTTCAGATGAAAATAAAATTGGCTCCCATACAAAATGATGATGCAATTTCTTTTGCAAGGACAGTAAAGACCAGGCAAAATAAACTCTTTCTACAATAGTTCGACAAAACTTTAAGAGCCCTTTCTTAATGCTCTCTCTCTGTACCAAATATATGCATTTGCTGAAAAAATTTTTTTAAATGAAGGTGCACACACAGGTATACAGTGTTTCAGTAAAGAACTGGTTATCTATTTAGCATCTACTGAATATACTACCCATTAACCCCTTGCACACTCATAAATACCTTAAAATTTTTTCTGCACATTTGTTATCTAATGCAATACAAATTCATTTACTTGGATCACAACAAAGAACAGTATGAATTATTAAAATCTAAACATTTACAATTGATCAGCTGTGTTATTGACAAATGTGTGAAGTTACATTCCCTACTATTACACTGAAACCTCACTGTAGCTGCTGCCCTACACTCTCTGCCAAGCTCCCTTTACATGGGATACTCTTTTTCATCCCAGTTCTTTATCTGTTTTTAGTTATGCTCCAAACACATCATGTCACCACATCTCTATTGCCTTCTTTGGCCCTTATCAGAACTCTACACTTGCAAAATTTGTCTTCTGTATGAGCATAATTACCAAAAATAAAACATGTATCACACTGCACTGCTATAACTTTGTGTCTGCCTTCTTATATCTGTTTCCCACCCTTGGCTCCAACTAAAGCTCCTAAAAAACAAGGAGTATATTTTAGTAATACTTATATTCTAGACCTAAGCACAAGGGCCTGGCACCTAGTAGGCTTCAAATAAAATACTGAATAAAACTGGGCAAGTCTACATAATAAACTACTCTTAAGAGGACTGAAGGAAGCATATTTAGTTTATAATATGATCATATTCATTGATATTTATTTACCCTCTCTTCTTATGGATTGTAGTACAATTTAGCATTTTCCTCTGGTTATATTGTACATCAAGCATGTCAAACTTGTGGCCTGTGGGCCGCATGCGGCCCACAACGAATATTTTTGTAGCCCAACCAATATAACAGTATGTAAGAAACGTTTTAATAAAAACTACGTGACTTAATTTTTACAATATCCTGTTATTGTAAATAATTACAATATATAATAATTAAAATTAATAATTATTAATAACAAGCTACAACATTCGCTAATGACTGATTACTGTAATCATGTTGCACTCATTTCCCTTACATGCCTTACGCACAGGCGCACCGTTTCTCCACTAATACTAGCAGCAAATATTTTAGCAGCCAACTGCCACGCCATTAGTCTCGGACTGACTTGTTTGGTGTGAGCAACAGGAAATATTTCTCTTCAGAGAACAAGAAAAATAGGTTTATTTGTGTTATGCTTATTAACTTGTACAGTCATCCAGTGTCTGGTAAGTTAATGTTCAAGAAAAAATATTAATTTTTATTAAAATGTTTTATCATTTTATGTTAATGATTACTCTTTTATTTCAGTCCTTTGTATTCAGCATGTCTCTATCAAAATAAACCTACGTTTCCATGCAAATTGAAGTTTTTGTTTTTTTGCAGCCCACATAAACTTAAACCTTGCTTATTTGGCCCGTGTTAGCCTTTGAGTTTGACATGCTTGTTGTAAATGATGGTCTTTTTGTCCCAACTAGGCTGGAAGATCATACATGATAGACCCTATTTTGTTTCTTTTGTATTCCCACAAGGAAAGAAGCAACCCTAAGTATGTTCCAGGGCAATGCTGCCAAACAGATGGCTTGTTTAATGGATGCACACGGTTCACTACAATTAGCAAAGTTTCTGTATGAAAATGGGCGTAGCTCCTGTAATCTATCTTAGAAATTTCACACACTGCTTGTCTGGCATGCTCTTGAAAGTCAAACTGAGACTGACTTCTTCTTCTTGGGGACATGGAGTAAATGTGCTCTTTCCTATTGTTCCCATTAAGTACAACTAAGAACCTGGGAGGGAGGGAGGGAGGAAGGGAGGGAGGGAGGGAAACAAATATAAGAAGACTCTAACACAGCAGTTCTCAACCTGTGGGTCGCGACCCCTTTGGGGGTCGAACAACCCTTTCACAGGGGTCGCCTAAGACCATCGGAAAACACATATATAATTACATATTATTTTTGTGATTAATCACTATGCTTTAATTATATTCCATTTGTAACAATGAAAATACATCCTGCATATCAGATATTTACATTATGATTCATAACAGTAGCAAATTACAGTTATAAAGTAGCAACGAAACAGAGCCAAGTTTAAAAAATTTGGCTCTCAAAAGAAATTTCAGCCGAAACCGGTTTGGCTCAATGGATAGAGCGTCGGCTTGCGGACTGAGGGGTCCCAGGTTCGATTCCGGTCAAGGGCATGTACCTGGGTTGCGGGCACACCCTCAGTAGGAGGTGTGCAGGAGGCAGCTGATCGATGTTTCTCTCTCATCGATGTTTCTAACTCTCTATCTCTCTCCCTCTCTCCCTTCCTCTCTGTAAAAAATCAATAAAATATATTTAAAAAAAAAAAAAAAATTTCAATTGTTGTACTGTTGATATCTGGCTCTGTTGACTAATGAGTTTGCCGACCACTGTCCTAGGGCAATGGAAACTAAAGAGAAAATAAAGAAATGGGACTACATCAAAATAAAAAGCTCTGCAAAGCAAAAGAAACCATCAACAAAGCAACAAGAAAGCCCACTGCATGGGAAAACATATTTGCCAATGTTATCTCTGATAAGGGTTTAATGTCCAACATTTACAGGGAACTCATACAACTTAACAAAAGAAAGATAAACAACCTAATCAAAAAATGGGCAATGGACCTAAATAGATACTTTTTAAAAAATATATATTTTATTGGTTTTTCTACAGAGAGGAAGGGAGAGGGATAGAGAGTTAGAAACATCGATCAGCTGCCCCCTGCACACTCCCCACTGGGCATGTGCCTGCAACCAAGGTACATGCCCTTGACCAGAATCGAACCTGGGACCCTTCAGTCCGCAGGCTGACGCTCTATCCACTGAGCCAAACCGGTTAGGGCTAAATAGATACTTTTTGAAAGAGGACATAAGGAAGGCCAAGAGACATATGAAAACATGCTCAAAGTCACTAATCATCTGAATGATGCAAATCAAAACGACAATGAGGTACCATCTCACACCTGTCAGAATGGCTGTCATCAACCAATCAACAAATTACAAGTGCTGGTGAGGATGTGGAGAAAAAGGAACCCTCGTGCACTGCTGAAGGGAATGCAGACTGGTGCAGCCACTGTGGAAAACAGTATGGAGTTTCCTCAAACTAAAAATAGAACTCCCATTTAACCCAGTGATCCCACTTCTAGGAATATATCCCAAGAAATCAGAAACACCAATCACAAAGGATATATGCACCCCTATGTTCATAGCAGCACAATTTACAATAGCCAAGATTTGGAAATAGCCTAAGTGCCCATCAGCAGATGAGTGGATTAAAAAACTGCAGTACATCTACACAATGGCATACTACGCTGCTGTAAAAAAGAAAGAACTCTAACCATTTGCAACAGCATGGATGGAACTGGAGAGCATTATGCTAAGTGAAATAAGCCAGTCCGAGTAAGATAAATATCACATGATCTCACTCATTTGTGGAATATAATAAACAACATAAACTGATGAACAAAAACAGATCCAGAGACAGAGAAGCATCAATCGGATGCTCAAACCTCAGAGGGAAGATAGGGGAGAGTGGCGGTAAGGGGGAGAGATCAACCAAAGGACTTGTATGAATGCATGTAAGCATAACCAATAGACACAAGACACGGGGGGGGGGGGGGGGGGGGATGTGCCAGGGGATAGGGGAGGCCAGGGGAAGGTCAATGGGGGAAAAAAGGAAACATATGTATTACTATTTGTAATACTTTAATCAATAAAATAAATTTTAGAAAAGACAAAATCAGCAATGATATAGAGGAATTCAACAAAAATAACAACCAAAAGAATCTAATTGATATTTATAGAACACTACACTCAGTAACAACAGAATACATTCTTTTCAAGTGGAAGTTTAGTTAAGATAGACCAAATCCTGGGCAATAAAACAAACATCAACAAATTTAAAAGTATGTAATTCATATGGCACACATTCTCACACCACAATGAAATAATTAGAAATCAGTAATAGAAAAACAACAGGAAATTCTCCAATCAATGGAAACATACCTCTAAACAATCTATGAGACAAGTCTCAACTGAAAGCAAAATACATCCTGAACTGAATCAAAATGAAAATATAACAATCAAAAACTGTGGGTGTCAGCTCAAACCCTGCTTAGAAATCCTATATAATAAAAGGCTAATACGCAAATTGACCTCCCCACCGGGAGTTCCACTGGAGTTCGACCAGGGGGCGGGGCTAGCTGGCCAACCACCTCCAGGCCCCCCCCCCCCGATCGGGGGCAGGGCTGGCCAGCCAACCTCCTACATCCTCCCACCCCCCCCACCCCCCACTGGCCCAGCCTGATCAGCCCCAATCAGGGTGTGCCAGCCGGACCCCACCCATGCACAAATTCATGCACCGGGCCTCTAGAGTTTATTATATAAACCCACACAACAAACAGAAAAGAGTCAAACCAACAATCTAAGCTCACATACGAAGAACCCAGGGAAAAAAAGGGGGTAGGGGCAAAATAAACCCAAAGCAAGCAGGAGGAAGAAAATAGCAAAGAATAGAGATTAATAAA